TAAAAAAAAATATTAATTAAAAAAAAATTAACAATATCTAACTATACGATTGAACTGGTTCATTCAAGTAATCTAAAACTCACAACTTTTGTATAATGGCAATGCTAAGAAGCTGCTCTACTCTAACAATGACTATTGTGAACTAGAGAAGAGAACTTGTTTATCACAAAAAAGGAAAAAAATACCAATTCTTCTATAAATACTGCATAACAGTTCTGAATTATGAAAAACAAAAAATGAAATTGAGCTACAAGTCATAATTCCTGTATGCATAGTACATAAACTACCCAAAAGATCTGAACTAGCTCATAAATTGAGCTAATTCACATATCCAATTGACTTTGTTTATCAAATATAACTTTGGTATTCGAATCGATGTAGAATTGGCAAATTATCTGCTATCTGCGAATCATTCATGAACTTGACAAAGTCAATTAAGTAAGTTAAATCGTTAAATCGACTATTCTAGACAAATGTCTACAAGGACTTACACTGTGATTATCGTCCTGCTCCACTGACATGCCACTTCAGCATGCCAATTGCTGAATCCTTGTCCATTCAACTGGTATYATTTGTGTGTAAGTAAGTAAATCAAATGTTTGTTGTTTCCTTGGCACGTCCGTTTGTTTTTCGTTATTTTTTTTTTTCTCTGATTCTTTTTTTTGTGGTTCCATGTTAGTTGTTGGTGTCATGAACTTTGACCCCATTGCTGTAACGGCCTTTGTGAGAGCCCAGTGGTTCTGGTTGTGGTTGTGTTTACAGTTTCCCATTGTTTCGCATTGAATGGACACAATAACAATGGCTGCCGACACTTTACAGCTATTCGGCACAGCAACTAAATACCCTGGAATTATCGAATCTCGATCTTGAAATGTTATTTGTGAATTTGACTTAGAATTAGACAATTTTATCATTGATTGGATTACAAAAGTTGTTATAACTAAAACCAAATGGCCTCTGTGTGTGCATATGTGTATGTGTATGTCTCTCTCTCTCTCTCTCTCTCTCTCTCATTCTAAAACAAAGTTTGTGCGTTTCGTTGAGCTGTGGCTTAATGCGTTTGCTTCCGTCTATATTATAGTATCCAAAGCAACAAATATTTGACTGGACTTGCCTTAAAGTAGCAGCGACAGCTAAAAGCTGCTGTGAAACATTCAAATTGTGATTATTAGTCAAATTTAAGCAAATTAGTGTACAAATCGATTAAATAATTAAGACAACAACAACAACAACAACAAATCAATCAACGAAAACTGCAGCCAAAACAAACCAAACCAAACCAAACCAAACCAAACCCAAAGAACCAGCTAACTATCAAGCATTACAATAATGGAATCCATTTAGTGTTAAACTAAACGTAAGAAAGCGCTAGAGGTAAAACACAAGATGTCCATGGTATGCAGTCTGAATGGCGATGGCGGCCAGCCGACGAGCAACAACAGCAATACGAACACGAACCCAAACACGAACACAAACACGAACACGAATGCGAATGCGAATCCGAATGCGAATGCGAATGCAGCAAACACAAATTCAAATACAAACGCAATGGCGTACGATTATGGGCAGCAGCAGAGCTCGGCCGATGTGCCCAATGCCAGCACGCCGCTGCTGCTGGGCCACGAATCGGGCGGCGCGGCCAGCGGCGATGTGGGCAATAGCGGCACAGCCATAACGGTACTGCAGCCGCCTGCTATGATTGGCACAGCGGGCTATGCGACGACGACAGCGGAATCAGCTGCGCTGGCGGCAGCGGCAGCGCCAACGGGCGAAACGATGCTGAGCCTGAATAGCGGTACTTTGAGTGTGTCGGGCGGCATGGTGCTGCCCGGCACACTGAATTTCGTGATGGGCGCCGCAAGCGCGCAGACAAGCAACAACGACAACAACAACAAYATGGATAATGCGAGCGATGACTCGAACCCGGTGACCATTTACAGGTAATGCATGCAAAGGGCAGCCGCTTGAACCGAACTGCCTCTCGATAGCAGCACTAGGGGTGTTCACTATTAAGCCGAACGAAATTATAAACCAATCTAGATTTATCACTCTAATGATTAATTGTGATTTAATCAGGAATTTTCATAGTCAAATTTTAATTGAATATCATTTTCGTTTTGCAGGTGCCGGGCTCCGATAGCGTCGCTCGACTGCATGGAGGAGTTCAGTGGTACGGGCGGTCATCTTGATTTCGGTATCGAATTTCTCACTATTATATAACCTTATAATTTTTTGTTCTTTTAGTTGAATACTCTTCGATTGCTTGGCTTGTTGTATTTTGATCCATAATTACAATATATAAACACAAATACATACACACATCACAGACGTACGTCCAGCACCCTAACTCTTGACTCTAGTGGTGCACGCGTGTTGAGCATTGAGACCGTTCTCTCTCTGTCTCTCTCTCTCTGTCTCTCTCTCTCTCCACGATCACGATCAAGCTTTGATTCTGAAACCGGCACGAAACCCGTTTAGTGGAATATCTATATACATATATATACCTGTATATATGTATACCTTATATATATATATGTATAAATATTTGCATGCACCGTTCGAATTTGGATTTGAATTACCAATCGATTCTACAGTTCATATATATAGATGTTATATGAAAGTATTTCCGATTATTTTGTTTGCAAGGAGTTCTTGTGCTCTGAAAGTTGTTGGGTTCCCGAGTTTAAGTTCTTCTATTTGCTGATTGTGCACGTGTTTTGTTTTTGGTTCTATTGTTTTGTGTCTTTGTTTTTCTTTGGTAATGGAATCCGCTAACAATGAAATAATTTCCCGCCGCATGCTTACCGCACCCAATCCGTACCCGAACCCCGACAAACTGATCGCTCTCTGGACCGACTGATTGCCCTCATAGGCCGTTCAATAAGCCTCGGCTCGAATCCGGCGCTGCCGCTGCGGCACGGCTCGACGCCGACGCCGGGGTTGCGGTACAAGAATCTGGGCAAGAGCGGCCTGCGCATCTCGAACGTCGGCCTGGGCACTTGGCCGGTCTTCTCGCCGGGCGTCAGCGATGAGCAGGCCGAGTCCATACTGAAGCTGGCCATCGACAGCGGCATCAACCTCTTTGACATCTCCGAGGCGCACTCCGAAACGGAGATCGGAAAGATATTGCAGCGCACCGGCTGGAAGCGCACCACCTATGTGATCACTACCAAAGTGTACTGGAGCACCAAGTGAGTGCCCACTGCTACGCACAATGAGCAATGATCAATGGTTATCTCTATGCTTAATGTCCTCCACAGATCCGAGGAGCGAGGCCTCTCACGCAAACACATCATCGAGTGCGTGAGAGCCAGCTTGCAGCGCCTGCAGCTGAACTACATCGATATTGTCATCATTCACAAGGCCGATCCCATGTGTCCAATGGAAGGTGGGTAGTCTTAGCTTACCTAATGCTGACATAGATGCTATGTCCATAACTGTATATGTCTAACTTGCTTGAAGCCCATTTGCTAACTGAAGCTAAGGAAACCTTAAGGCATTTAAGTTGGCAATCTAAATTTTTGTTTTGAAACCAAAATCGGCCTTTAATTCCGAGCTTGATTTTAATACCAACCCAGTATTTCAATATATATTTCAAATTATATTTTTAATTTTTTTTTAATTTCTCTATTTTTTGACAACAGATAGAAATTTTTAATAGAAAACATAGTCAGAGCTAGCTTAAATTTAGTAGTACCTCTATAAAGGGAACTAAAGTTCATTTTATATATACATATGGCGGAGGGTACTAGAAACTCTCTGTCTCACATGCTGATATCAAATTTTGCTCAAACAAGCAGTCAATATAGGCATATTTAAACCTATTTGTAATATATACCTATACATAATACTCTCATAATATAATAC